CCCTTGGGATCCCACAGGTCGCTATGCCAACTCGAGGCACATCGATATCGGTTCTTAGTTAGGTAACAAGCAAGTCTTTTTTTTTTGAGATAATTGTCGATAACCGAGGGTTTCATTTGAGCACAATGATGATACTGTGAGGTCCCATAGTATTTGCCTTGCAGACGTGGAAATGGAGAAAATTTCGATATGCATGTCATTTCGCGTTTGGCAGAAGCAACCGCGTAATCTGTTGCAGACATCCCTGGAAGGAAATTCAGTCGTTGCTGCAAACATCGCTATAACTTGTTACCTCCAGTCCTCGGCCAATATCAACTTCAGATCGACCATCATCGATATATCCAGCTCTTGGGGGTGGGATATTTGACCCACCATTAAGCACGTATCATACTGCTTGGGTGCCTTATCTTCCTTTCTGGAAATGTTTCGTGTGCCAGGTCTGGATGCGAAACACAAGCTACACATCTGTTTTGTTCCTTATGAACACAGTCCAGAGTCGATAAGAAACAACCACCGCTCTCTGGTCTGTCTCCCCCATTTTTTATTCAGCCTATCTCTGTTCTCATTGTCTCATGTTAGAGCGGAGTAGTAGGTCGATTTGGGCGCTCTTCCGAGAAGCCATCACCCGCTTCTGCCTGGATTTAGAGGGACGTGGTTGGACTGGTAGTGGGCAATGTTGTTGTCAGAGCATTCCCAAGCATCAGCGTGACAGCGCGCTGTTTGCGCGCTGTATACAAAATAGACCTAACATCGCAAACACAACCAAAATTCCCCAGTTAGAAAACTATATGAATTGCATTCTTCTCTCTTTATTTCTGCCAGTGGAGCAGCAGATGGTGTGTACGGAGTTAGCGACAGCCATCTCATGCGGGGCTGAGAGCAAGTTGGCTTGCGGTTTAGGCGAAGAATTCACAAGTGGTCGCTGGCGGCAACCGGAGTCGGATATTGACTCAGTCCACCGCAACAACCCCATCGTCCTCCATCCTTCACCTCACCTCACCTTGTCGCCTCGCCTCGCCTCGACCACCTCAGTTCTACCGGCTCCTCCATCTCCTCCATCCCCCCCATCTCCCCATCATCACCTCTCATCCCCTCTCTCCCCCTCCCTTCTCCTGTTCTCTCCCGCCTACCTCTCACCTCTCGCCTCTCACTCGACCTGTCGCAAAACTCCCACCCTCCACCCACCCGCCTCACCGACTCGACTCCCGCTCTCTTCTCATCTTCCCACCCTCCACCCTCCACCCCCCGCCATTATCGAACCCTCTACGTTGGTGAAGCCTCTTCGTGTTTTATTCCACTTCCCTAGCCTACGGTTGAGGCTCCACGCGCTTGTTCCTTTAGCGTGCGACCTGGAATTGTTCCGCTTATCTGCTTTAGTACGTGCTTCGCTTTCACCACCTTACATTTCTTTGACAACTCCCTTTCCAAATCAATATCACTTCCAATCGCTTCCTCGACCTCACTAATTTCGTTTTACTCTCATGAATAGAAAGCCAGTTCTGCCTCAACGACCTGGAACAAAAGTTAACCGCTTTCCAGCATCAAAACAGAAAAAAACAAAAGGATTTGCACCGAAAATATCCGTCCACACCACTACCAATTATTTCTCTCTACGTTCCAATTCCATCTTAGCTTCTCTTTAACATTTCAAAATGGCAAGCAACGAATCTCGTGACGCCGCACCGGCCGTGACCGATGAAGTCATGACAGACTACAGTCGCACTGAGCAGGGCGAACCTGAAGGTCCACCGAAGACTGATGAGGAATATGCCCAGTCCACGCTGACCCTTCGCGCCATTGTTTCCTCCAAAGAGGCTGGTGTAATTATTGGCAAAGCTGGGAAGAATGTGGCAGACCTACGTGACGAGACTGGTGTGAAAGCTGGCGTGAGCAAGGTCGTACAAGGTGTCCATGATCGAGTTTTAACCGTCACTGGGCCTCTTCAAGGTACTGCCAAAGCGTACGCCATCGTCGCCAAGGGTTTGCTTGAGGGTGCTCCTCAGCTTGGAATGGGTGGAGTTGCTTCGAATAACGGTACCCATCGTAAGTGGCTCTACACATTGCTCTATTCATCCTCTTCGCCTCCTCAATGATGCGTTCGGTGACTGTCTTTTACCCATAAGATACGAACCCATATCTGTATCTCACAATTTCACATTTATCAACATAGTTATTTCTGTCCAGTTACTTACTTCCTCTAGCTGTTCGCCTACTCATCTCTCACAATCAAATGGGTACGATCATTGGCCGTCAAGGTTTGAAGATCAAGTATATCCAGGACGCTTCTGGCGTTAGGATGGTTGCACAGAAGGAGATGCTCCCACAGTCTACCGAACGGATCGTCGAAGTTCAAGGTACCCCAGAAGGGATCGAGAAGGCTGTGTGGGAAATTGGCAAGTGTCTTATTGATGACTGGCAACGCGGGACTGGGACTGTCCTCTACAACCCCGCTGTTCGCGCATCTGTAGGCGGCGGCCCACTCAATAATTCGCTTGGATCTGGGGCTTCTACAGGCGGTTACGGTGGACGTTCCTACAACCGTACCGGAAATGGTGCCGATTTCAGCGATCAAACGGGGGGCTATAACCGACGTTCCAATTCCGATGCAGCCAGCCGTGGCATCCCACTTGTAACTGAAGACGGAGAGGAGGTCCAAACACAGAATATCAGCATCCCGTCCGACATGGTTGGTTGCATTATTGGTCGCGGTGGAAGCAAAATCAGCGAGATTCGAAGGAGCTCAGGCGCTCGTATTTCTATCGCCAAGGCTCCCCATGACGAAACTGGGGAACGTATGTTTACGATCATGGGGAGCGCAGCAGCGAACGAAAAAGCTCTCTATCTCTTGTATGAGAACCTTGAAGCCGAGAAAATGCGCCGCAGCCAGCAACCGCAGGAGTGAAGCAAACCCGCTTTGTCTGAATCGGGTTCGTAGTAGGTTCAAATGGAGCATGGCAGCAGTGCTGTGTTCACTTTACCAACCAAAGCAAACTTTGGATTATTTATAGGCTGTCATCAATCTCGTGTATGTTCCCAAGCCTCAAATCTACAAATCCGCCCAACTACCGGTTTCCTTTCAGCCATTCTACCCCAACGTCCCCCCACAGCCGAAAAGTCTTGCCTGCTCAGTAGCGATGCTGTCAGAATGTTACCGGATTGGACTGTTTGGACCTATCGACCTTCGCCACCACAAACCGCTCCGGTTCATTACCCCAGTACTTTCCAATATCTTCATTTCCCGCCTCGTTTCTCGCAATGTACTGGATTATTATTCTTGATCCTACCTAACCTTATCATTCTCTCTTTTCCCTGTTCCCCCGCCTTGAACTCTTACTTTCCGCGCCCCTTAATCCACAGTTTCATTAAAATCCGTAGTTTTTATTACTTCGTGCCGTCTAAAAGTCGCCTCACCTGTTTCCATTCTATCAACGATGAAACGCACAAATGCCAATCCTTCAAAATCTCACGTACCCATTAAAAACTTACTTTTCTCCCTCAATTTTTCTCCATGACTTCCTTCATGCCATTCTCGTATTCCTTCCTTAACGCCCTTCGTCCTTGTTATCCTCCCCCCCTTAAATGGCATTTTCTATTTATCCGCCACAAAAGAAAAAGCAATCTCACACGCGCAAATACTCAAACTACCCATGATCCTCCGCTTTGGTCCGATTTCTGCTGTCCTTGCCCTGTCTCCATTTGTTTTTTTCAGTGAACCAACATCAGACAATATTTTCTCTCATTGAATCACTGACAAAGCTGCACGGAAATTGTTTACAAGTGGATAGATATTGGGCCTCAAGGGCCCCCACCTCCCTCTCCTTCCTATATATCAATTTGTGTCTTACGATGGGAAGAGCAGGGACGCGCACAAATTAAAAATAAGATTGAAGTCTTAAGTAAACAATAATTTTTTTTTATCAAAAAAAATTAACCTCTTTAAAGGAATGGGAAAAATAAAAATAAAAATAAAATAGGGAAAAAGAAAGAAAATGATTCAAAATCAGAATTAATCAAACCGTGTGTCCATTATCGTACTCTTAAAAGCGAAAATAATGCAATATTCCCAGAAATTCATTTCAGGTTGTGCCGAGGTATTCCGACTGCACGGGATAGCGGGAAGTCACATGACACCGGTTTGCCAAGAAGATGGTTTCCCGCCCCCAGAGAGAAGTCCCGTCTCCATTTCCTCCATGGATAATCCTGCAATTACTGTACTGATATAAAATTCGAACGGGGCGGCGGATGGACCACTTCCTCCCTGTTTGGAGCATACCAACATCTAACCTGTTGTCCTGGTCCCCTTGGCCAAATTAAATCTGCGTGACCTTCTGGTGCCCTAGAGCCTGAGCTCCATTTTGGGTGAGTTTTGGTTTGGAAGCAGCCGCTCATTTTTCACTTTTTCAATCTTTCCGTTTCTTTCACAGCCTTGAGCCGATGTGTCAAATACACTCGCATACATGCGGACGGCATTCATTATGCACCTCGTTGATGGGCCAGCCTAAGTCGACGGTGGTATTAGAGACAAACAAACGGGACCGGGACAGATGGGGTCGCGAACGGAAGCCACCCTTCCACTGTCCGTTTTGAGAACACCAAATAAGAAACCAGGCGATTCCGTGCCGTCGGTACATGTATCCAGGGTCAGGTCTAGGTAAAAATTTTCTTTGTTGTCGTTTGTTTGAATTTTCCGCAGTGAAAGCCATGCGGGTGATAAAGGGATGTTTGTGGTTTTTTTTAATAGAACAAATGCGGCCAGACGAAAAGGCCTGATGGATTTCTGATTTCGGTAAGATAATGCAAAATAACATATTGTCGTTAAATGCTTTCTCTCTTTCTTTCTTTCTCGCACCGTCCCCTCTTTAAAATATAGGTTTTCCCCGTCTTCTTTGCATGCTTGGATCTGTAACTAGTTGACTCAAGCGACTGTTGGCTTACATGATTCCAAAAGCCGACTTCCGCTTTCGTTTTCTCAAATCTCTCACATACAACGTGGTTTAATGGTACATACTCTCGGAATCATTGCAGCTGCCCGTGGACAGAAACAGGGAGTTTGATTTTTAGAGAGCATTGTGAAAAAACTTTCACAGTATCTCAGAGCCATATGCAGGAAGTCCCTAGGAGCGACCCAAATGTGCCTCATCTTGGAAATGCTTCGTACCGTATCGTTTCTTGGTGCAACAGCACTGACTCCCACCAGCAAACATCCATAGTGAGGGAACGGGGCATTTGGCGGTGGGGAAATTCGAATTACGTAGATCGAGTGCTAGTGATATGATCCACTTTGTCCATTCGTATATGACTATCTGAGGGCACCTAGTTTGCACCCGATGTCCTCGTTTCGAACATCATTGATCTCATCAGCAACTTGCCGAACAAGTTAGTTAAATGCTACATGTAGTATAGTGTGGGGGTGAATCTCCTGGAGCATTTATTCTTGTAGAATGACGAAATTTGTCCTTGCTAGTAAACCATCCATATGTAATTTCATATTTAATCCGGCTATCCTCGTTTCCAAGTAAGTCCCTTCCACTTCCTTTCTTTGCTCACGAAGCGTGTAAAATGAGAAACGTAAATTAAAGGGGGAAAGAGATCAAGTTAAGGCTTGGGCTTCCAATTGACTGATCCTTATTAACTACTTCTTCCCAACCCCGCGACACATCGTTGAATCTCTGCTCTGATAATCTTACCAACCTTCCCAACTATACAAAATGACACGAATCCTTCTCACAGGTACAGGAGACGGCCTACTCGCATCCCGTAAAACATAAATTCAGCAAATTGGCGGAAAGACAAACTAACAAAGTTTTTATACATGCAGGTGGAAGCGGTTTCATCGCGGCTCATGTCCTGGACGCTCTTCTGCACCGCGGCCACTCGGTAGTGACCACCGTGCGCTCAGAAGAAAAGGCTCGTAAAATCAGAGACTCTCATCCAGATGTGCCGAAGGACAAACTAGACTTCGCGATCGTGGAGGACATCGCGAAACTTGATGGTAATTATGTCGCGCGGAACAACTGCTTAGCCCACCCCATGGCTACTTGCTCCAACAATTGGTTGATTGGATATAAATATATATATATATATATAGCATTTGACGAGGCTGTTATTGCGGACCCGCCCTTCGAGGTTGTTATTCACACGGCTAGTCCCTTCCACTTCAGAGCTGATAATAATCAAACCGAATATCTCGATCCGGGTACGTATAGATAATGTTTGTATCTCGTTGATTGCAGAATGACATGTTCAACCGGATTCCCACTGACTTATTTGTTTGCCAAAAATAACACACAGCTATCAATGGCACCGTTGGAATCCTTCGTGCCATCAAACGAAGTGCGCCAACGGTCAAGCATGTAGTTATTACATCTTCCTTCGCCGCTATCATTGATGCCAAGAAGCCTCCTACGTATAAATACTCAGAGGTGCACAAATTTGCCGTTTGCTGCCCTTGATGTGATAAATATCTACGTCATCTAACATTAACAACAGGCAGATTGGAATCCTATCACAGAGGCAGAAGCACTTCTCAACCCAATTTATGGTTATCGGGCGAGCAAGACATTTGCTGTACGTTGTGGTAAACCCCTGTTTAAATGATTATGAGACCCCCCACCCCCGCCATCAGAAAAAATAAAAATAAAAATAAAAAATAAAAAATGGCTGACATGAACGTCACAGGAAAGGGCCGCTTGGGAATTTGTTGAAAATGAGAAACCAAACTTCACCGTCACGACGGTATGCACAACGACTTAAATATCCATTCTACCATAGATACAAACCCAATTGAACCGCTGCTGAGACGGAACAGATAAACCCCCCTGTCGTCCTCGGGCCAGTCATCCACCATGTGGACTCCTTCGCCACGCTCAACACCTCCAACGAGCGTATTCGCGACCTGATCACGGGGGCCGGAAAGCACTCATGCCCGCCAACAGGCACGTATCTATGGGTCGACGTGCGCGACGTCGCTCTCGCGCACATACTCGCTGCTGAAAAACAGAAGGAAGCTGCCAATCAGCGCTTCTTTGTCACAGCGGGCAACTTCAGCAATCGCCAGGTGGCCGGTATCATCTACGAGGAATTTCCACAGCTGAGGGAGAAGTTGCCGGTGGAGGAAGATGCATTGAAACCTGGTGATTTCCCCGCAGAGGGATATTCTGGGTTTGATAATGAGAGGTCGAGGGACGTGTTGGGGTTGGAGTATCGGTCGTTGAGGCAGAGTGTGGTCGATACGGTGAAGAGCCTGCTAGAGATTAAAGGGTAGGGGATTATGGAATATTTCCTTGTATATATCTTGTCGTAGAAGTTCATAGGATGTTGGTGTTTGCTAAGAGATGGTGTGGAGGTATCCTCGCACATCACCGTTCAAAGGAAGTCATATCTTAGTGCTGCCCTGCCGCGGCTTCCCAAACTCCTTGACACTTCTGTTTCGGAGCATCTCATATATTTACATCAATTTTTCCAGCCAATACTTGTCTACACCTAGGTGGGTAGGTTGGCACCTTGGTTAGAACACCTTTTGAATAGACAAGAACGGACACCCCTGTATTCTCACTTAAGGCATTCGTATCAGTTAACTGCACTGCGCGATCGAGTCTTTCTTGGTTAACTCACATTTTTGTTACAATTAATATTCTTTCCTCTTACTTTCTATGTTTGAGGGTAATTTTCTGGCCAAGAATGCTGCTTTGTTTGTTTCTTGTCTTTGTAAAATCCCTGATTAAAATTGCGGAAGAGTGTACCTATGCTCTTCCTCCGTCCGTTCTGCCTTCCCGCGACCCCTGCCTGACTATTAATGTATGACGAAGTACGCATGAGAAATGTGGGTGGATATATGGATCGTTGAAAAGGATCAAGTTCCGAAGCAAAGTATTCTGCAAATATCCGAGCAACTGCCAAGATCTATCATACTTCCATTTCGAAAATGCGTGATAGCCGCATGCGGCGAAACACTTCTCCAATCATATAATGGCATGGATACCATACCCTGGTTCTTCCAAGGGCGTAATGATGACTTGCTTCGCAAGGAGGGGTGGTCAAGGTGGCTCTACTGTTCTGTGGCGTCATCACCTGCAGGACAGGAAGCTACAGAAAAGAGAAAAGAGAAAAGAGAGCACAACAGAAGCAAAATGGGAGAACACAGCGAAACCTAGCATGAGGTAACAACACACCGGCAACAGGCGGGGTTATGAATCGTGGAAGATGCCGCCCAGGTCTGGCCTACTATAAATATTGTCCTAGCCATCAACTTTGGTTTCCTCCTAGCGATACAACCGACCGACACTACCTTACTTCATCGCCTACTCAACTTGCTGTCCGCCGCGCACTTTACGCTTGATGGCTACGATGGACACGTCCAGTTATTTAATTGTAGGCGCGGGATGTTTTGGTGCTTCCACGGCCCTTGCGCTCAAGAAAGCGAAACCCAACGCACATGTCACGTTGGTCGACCGTACCCCTTACCCATGCCCATCTGCCGCAGCTCACGACCTGAACAAAATCATCAGAGCCGAATATGAAGATCCTATGTATATGCGTCTCGCTCTAGAAGCACAGGAGCAGTGGCGTACCGATCCTGTGTTAAAACCTTACTTTCACAAGACGGGTATCCTATTTATCGGCATTGAGGCGCCTGGCCAAGCTGTTGTGAGGAGCTACGAGAAGGTGCTTGGCGAAGGTAACTCTCCCGCTGTTCTCTTGGATCCGGAAGATGCCAAAGCTCGCTTTGGTGGAATCTTTCAGGACGGAGATTGGACTGGAGTCACCAAGTGTACTTGGAATCCCCTTGCAGGATGGGGTGACGCCGCCAATGCCCTGCGTGCTGTCATCCAGTCTGCCGTTGATATTGGGATCAAGTATATCCAGGCGACGGTTACAAAAGTTGCATTTGACTCGAACGGCAACTGTTCCGGAATTACGACCCTGGAAGACACCCAACTGTCTGCTGATAAGGTCATTCTCTGCACTGGGGCATATACTCCCTGGATTTTAGCTGAGAGCGCCCCAGACCGTCCAGAGATACAAGCCCGTAATCGAATGGTTGCGGCTGCTTCCATTATGTGTGCTTTCAGCCTCCCCGAGGATCAAGTAGAGAAATTTAGCGATTGTCCCATTGTTGTGCACCCAATGGGTGAATATCCAGGTAGCTCGCTCCTGGATTCCCCTATTGGAAAATGACTCGCTAATATCTCAACGTACCAGCCGAATGCATTCCACAGAGCGGACCAGGCCTCATAAAATGCACACACGAACGGAGCTTTACCCACAAAGTGTTCCACGAAGCCTCCAAGCAGGAAATTTCTGTGCCTCCCCCACGTGTCACTCAACAGATATTTTCCCAAGACGTACCCCAGGGGCTGAAGGACGAGGCCAAGGCAGCGCGAGATAAACTCTTCGGTAACTGGATAAATAATATGGAGCCGAAGCAGTATCGGATGTGCTGGTGAGGCTCGAATCAAAATTGCCAAACACATTATCGTCCACTTGAATCTAACAAAAATATACCACAGGGATTCCATCACGCCAAATCAGGACTGGATAATTTCACCACATCCCCATGTTCAGAACCTGTATATTGTAGGCGGCGGATCCTTCCATGCGTGGAAGTTCTTGCCCAATGTTGGGAAGTATGTTGTCCAGATGATCGACAACGAGCTGGGAGAGGAATTTGTACGGCGATGGGCGTGGGATCGGAGTGATGAGGGTGGGAACTGCGCCAGCTATATACCGACGAGAGATTTGAAGGATGTGCCGGGCTATTCGTAAGATCAAAGACGGGGGAGATTACTAGTTACCAAATCACGATTTGCAACCAGCTAGTATGTTGTTATAACCAAATCTTCGAACCACTTATGAGAATTTTAGCGACTGTTGGTCGTATTCGTTATTTCGCACATTTTTCACGCCGTCTCATTTCAAGAGAGGGAGTCCTCCAATCAATGCCTTCTTCGAACCTGGTTCCCTAAATGTGTCTTGAACCAATGTTTTATTTCGCCTTTTCCACAGTCGCCGCCTTCCAACTCCATCAGTATACGCGCATAACTGATATCATGGGATGTGAACGTGAGGTTCGTTTTGAACTGCGGATTAAAAACATCTTCTCGCTTCCCTCCTTTGTCCAGCGCCCAACCACTAGTTAACTGACTTGTCAGTTAGTGGCTTGATTAGATAAAGCTTGGCACTATTTCATCTTCCACTGCGATCATCAACAGCTTCATGAAGCAGTTCAATTCAAATAGCTAAAAGATACAAACGTACGGGAAAAAAAGACAACGAAAGAAACTGGGTTAAATATGTTGCTAAATGAAGCCCTATCAAACACGATCTTCTTTTTCATTAATTCTTCTCCGTTGACATTCTGGCGAGCTTACAAGAGTGCTATGGATATCAAGCACACGAGATAAGGTACTGGTCTAGGAAAAGCTACCATCAGCTTTTGAACACAAAATTCGTCAGGTGGGGAAGATATTAATATACTCACAAAATTCACCTAGAGGAGATGCCCACCAACCCTTCAGCATCATCCCAGACTGCTCAAACTGCATCTTCATGATGTCAGGTCCATATTTCCAGGATCCGAAAAACTCAATTACTTCGCCTTCGCCGACATGTAGCCCAAGATCTGGGCAATCTACATCCTTGGTTGCAAGGAGGGAAAATTTGTGATGTGGAGGATCGTCACCGATAACTCCATTCAACACCCAATCCTCCGTTCTGTACCAAGCCTTTCCAAGAAGCTCGTTGGACTCTCTGAAACCATTGCGGATGAAGCTCTCCCAGACACCATCTTTATCGTGATACATTCTTTCCAGTTCCTCGCGCCCTCCTCGCGCATCCATCCCAATTAACATCAAGTCCGATGGCCCCAGAACCTCTCGCCACGGTTGCATACGTTCCACTGCTAGGTCGAAGGTGTCGTTTCCAAACATAGAGCCCATTGAAAGGACGCACTTTGGCGTATCCACCGATCGAAGCCATTGGCGACCATCTTCAAAGGTACCCCAAAGCCCGTAGCATTTAACGTGCTGGTATCTGTTGGCCAGATACGTCATGCTCTCCTCCAAAGCATCTCGACTGATGTCAAGCGCAAAGTACGAAACGGGGATCTTGAACGACTCCAACTGCTGCAAGAGGCAAGCAGGCTTCCGGATGTCTCTGCCGCCCAGGTTAGTTTATATTCTGTCATCTGGCAACAGGATTTTGTGGGGCGATTTCATGCTGGCGAAATACCTACCCAGAGCCCATATCTACGATGGTGCACCCTAGAGGTATCTCTTCGCAGATGGCAGCACCGTGGCACTCTAAAAGACTGATCTCGTCTCGAGTTTGGTGGTAATCGGCGAGCCAGCATACCTGATTCCAGAGCTGGAGTCCCAATCCATAGTAAAAAAGCTCCGTGGGAAAGGAACGCGGCGATTTCCCATCACTGGAAATAAAGTCTTCCTTGAGTTTTACCTTCAGACTGTCCCCCAACCCACTACCGCCAATGTCGAGAACCTCCCCGACTCTCAAGGAAGATGGCATTTTCAAAGATTTTTAAAGAGAACTGAGTGGAGATTTGTATCTTGGTCGTATAATGCAAAGATAAAACGTTTGTCCCAATATCTATTCTCAGGGATATTGTTTGTCCAAGTGAGCCAAAAGCCCACACCTGCAGTCGCGGCGCGATTGAAGGCTTTATATGCTCCCCCATGCCAAGGGAGATGAGCCCATTGAGGCTCTATTCACAAATCCAACCCTCACCAGCTAACACAACATTGTGCTCTTCCCATAGCGGAAGTGTTTGCCCAAATCTTCCAAATTCTAGGTCGACAGGCTCAGGGCGAGCGACAACTACATCATAACCACGAGATATTGGATCTGCCACCGTTCTACGGAGTAAGCCTCATCCAGATAACGCTAGCCAATTACAGTCCTTTTGCACTTTATCTAGTGTTGTCTTCTCTTCCTTCCTAGAGAGAGGAGAAGTGTTGGGGGCTATATTCGCCTCATTCATGCACGTCTGTTTTCTCCTTTCTTGCCGTGTCCGAGTCGGGAATATGGTCCAGC